GCCTCTGGGATCAGACAGATATATGTGATAGCTCTGTTGTGGAATAGCTATGTAACCATGAACAACTTTTAGAACCTTTCTTAAGACTTCTTTCCTAGCTCAAAAAAGGCAAAAATATTTTACCGTTTGTAGATATTATAAGAAATAGTAGTAGTGCATATAAAATATCCTGCTTTATGCCTGGCCCATAGTAGTCACTCAGATGTGGGACAAGCCAGACCAGCCATACGTCATCCAGAGGAAATTGAGTGGGTAGATTATTCCTGGACTGGGTCTCCCTGAGCAAAGCCCAGAGTTAAAGAAGAACCATGGAATATTAATAGTCTTGCTGGGAAGCTCACATGGTCCTGAGTTCATGTACAGGCTGGCCCTGCTCCAACTTCAGCTGCCTATTATGCCCACTCTTAATGTATTAAGGCAAATTATGGTTTTAACAATTTGGGGATGGTAGTGTTGAGAAAAGAATCACTTTACTAAAGAGACCCAGCTTGTAAGACATAGCCTGATTTCAGAAATATTACAATTGGAGAAAACTGCCTCATAAAAATCAAGGATTTATTATCTTAGATCAGTCCATCTTTCTCAGCTGGGTTTTGGGGTGCTTGTCTTGCTATAAGGACCTCCTGAGCTTACCTCTTATTAAACTCAAGGATTTTATCTCACACACTGGCAGATTGCTGCTTCAGGTTCCCGCTATCAGACCAGGGCCCACGAGGGTTATGTGCCTGTTATCCAGGGCCAGACCACTTGGGAAGAGGAGTCTATTTCATTTATTGCCACAGCCTCTAAATCTCTCAAGATGTGGTCGGGGAGGTGGTGTGTGTGGCATGGAGAGAACAGCTGGCTCCATTCTCTAATGTCCCAGGACCCCCTACAGGATCATCTGACCAGCCTTTGAACCACAGCCCATGTGCTTGACTTGCAGGGTGTTGTTTCTGTAGACCACTGGCTGCAAATTTGGCTGTGTATTAGGCTCACCTAAGGAGGTTAAAAAACACCAGTGCCTGGATCCCACTCCCATAGATTCTATTTCAATCCATCTGAGGAGTGGCCTGGACATCAAATTTTTTTTTTAAGCTCTTCACAGGATTCTGATGTGCAGCCCAGTTTGAGATCGTACCACCAGATTGCTTCCATCTTCCCCTGGTCAGATCATGACTGTGGCTTGAACTGTCTAGCTGCTTCTGTTTATCTCCCTAATGATACTTCCTATGGATCTCCTCCATCTGGTCGGGGGCTCGGAGGGAGGTGACAGGAGGGTCCTCGACCCTGTTTCACAGATTGCCCTTTGACTCCAGAAAGGTGCTCACTCCTTTGAGAAGAGTTTGTAAGCCATTAGCCTTTGTGGGCCTAAGTCACCCTTCGTGTGTCAGAGCAGAGTTACTGACTGCTTTCTGAAGAGAGCCTGCCTGTACTTTGTTCCGCTTTCCTGTGGCTAACCAGCTTCATTTTCAAGATGTGTCACAACCCTTGCCTCTTAGTTAACTGTAAAGCAAAAAATCTTCCCCTGATTGGCTGTGTATTAGGCTAACTGAATTTGAGTTTCTTGCAGATTTTCACATCAGATTAACAAATTTTCAGTGATCAAAAGCTTAGTTCTAAAATACAACATTCCTGGAGGTAGCCTCAAATCTATCTCTAGTTCTCCAGCATGCCTTTTTGAATTTGTGGTGTGTGAGGTTGGGGGCTGCTGACCACTATCTTCAAGGCTGCAGATGAGGTAGGTAAACGGAAGCTGATTGAAAGGGGCAGAGGCTGAGTCCTTGTTCTCCTCTCCCCACCTCAACCCCAAATCCCTCACCTCACTGTCACACATGGAGGGGCTCCCTGGAGACCCGGTCAGTCCTGACTGCCTTAGTTCTCCTTTGAGTCAAGGTAGCCGGTCAGAACTTCCCACTTAGGCCCCAATGTTTGGGCCACTTGTAGAATTGTTTATGTTTCTGCTTGGACTCTGATTGTGGCTTTTATTAGGGGATGTTATCCAAAAAAGTGATTATTTGGAATTTGTGAACTTTTAAAAACAATTCTAGGGATGTTGTTTGCAATGCTAGCCAATTCAGAGACTCCATTGCTGAGCATGTGTGGGAGAGAGCTTTCTCGGGCTTTGTGTATTATTAGGAATTGTATTCCTCCTCAGCTGCTGTGTCCCACGACCCCATGGACACTGGGCCTTGTAGTTGCTCAGACTTCCCTCCTGGCTGCCTTGAAGAAATGTCTAGTGCACCAGAGTGTGTAATTTTATGCACTGTTACCCCAGCTGTATTTCTTTTCTTAAAATTATTTTCTCTTTGGCTTCATTTCCTCATTCATTTCTTTCTTCTCTTCTAAAATTTGCATCCTTGTTAGCCCTATCATCCTTTTTAGAATGAGCTGGTGTACAAATGAGCAAATAAATACTTTAAGAAACTGCCCTTCTCATATACTCTTTCTACTCCACTGCTGCTGCTCCTGCCTGCGGCCCCTTCTATGGGGTAGAGCCCAGCAGCTCAGAGTGGGTGGCCTTCCTCAGCAGGAACTGCCTCCATTCCCAGACCACTGTCGTGTGGCTCTGACTCCTCCCACCCCCCCAGCTCTCATTTCTGCTGCTGGCCTTCGCTCATCGTTTCCACCGACCTGAAGCCTGTCACCCTTTCCTTCAGCTCTGCTCTCTCTGCTGAGCTGATTTCCTCTGTGAAACCTTTGCTGACCCCCTCCAGGAAGAGCTGACCACTTCCTGGGTGTCGCTTCCTCTCCTGGTGTTCGGGACTCTGCCTGCACTAACTGGGCTGCAGCTCGCCCATAGGCACCTTTGTGCAAATTAGGAAAAGGTACCTGCCCCTTCCTCAAGTAACTTTCTAGAACTTCCAACTGTTGGAAAACCGTCTTAATAATGAGGAATCTAGGGGCGCCTGGGTGGCGCAGTCGGTTAAGCGTCCGACTTCAGCCAGGTCACGATCTTGCGGTCCGTGAGTTCGAGCCCCGCGTCAGGCTCTGGGCTGATGGCTCGGAGCCTGGAGCCTGTTTCCGATTCTGTGTCTCCCTCTCTCTCTGCCCCTCCCCCGTTCATGCTCTGTCTCTCTCTGTCCCAAAAAAAATAAATAAACATTGAAAAAAAAAAAATTAAAAAAAAAAAAAAAAAAATAATGAGGAATCTAGGATGTTTCACCTGGAAGTGGAAGCCTGCTAGGATTGTGCTGTGCTGTACTGCATAGTTATACTTGACGGCCCTTTTGTGAATTGTCTTTATTCCCCTCAGCACTGTTTGTCTGACAAGAGCAGGCCCTCCACAACCATTTGCTAAATGAAAGAGTGAAAGTACAAGTATGCGCCTCATTCTTATCATGAAAAATAGCAGGAAAGGCATATGTGATGAGGTCTTTTTGCACTGAACATGAGTATATTTTAATTTAGAGACGTACACATATGTGTCTATGTATATGTATGTGTATATATTTACTTTTCAGTATTTCTGAAATCAGCAGGTATCTTACAGTCAGTGCATCATGGTGCCTAAGAACACAGACCCTGGTACCAGACTGCCTGTCTGAATCCCAGTTCTACCACCGAGACACATATCAGTGACTTTGGACACTCTACTTAACCTCTCTGTGCCTCAGTTTACTTATCTATAAAATAGGGATAATAACAATAGTTCCTACTTCATGGGGTGATTGTGAGAATTAAATGAATTATTGTATGTACCGTGCTTAGCATATAGGCACCAAGCACCTAATAGAGATATGTTACCTCGTATCATTATTATTAAAGCCTATGTATACACTTAATACACTGTTGTTTCTTTTTAACCCTAAAAAACTGCTTTAATCCATGCTGTACAGCTTATATTGATGGCGTCTTGTTTTGGTGGGCAGCTGCCTGTATCCAGGATCGTGTGCATTGTGGTCAGACATGTGCCGTGTATGCCTGCCCCTCCACACCAGTTTTCTGGTTGTTATGAGGTACATAGTGCACACGCAGGAGACCATCAGGCTTTGTTGTTTCTTCTTTTCCTTACATGGCAGAAGAGAAGGGGGGAAAACCAGAGCCCTGTATAGACAAGGCTTGTTTTGAAATTGAAACTTTTTATTCGTGTTCCAAAGCTTGGATTGGTAATAAAACTTGGCTGTCTTAAACTGGAAATCAGAGAGAATTGGGTTTGAAAAGTGACTTTAATGTAAAATCTTTATCTAATTGCAGAACGACTTCTCTTTGATGATTTTCAAGAAAGCCGTGCTGTGAAGTGGCAAAGGTAATGAATGTTCTGGGGCCGTGTTCCCCCTTAGAACCTGCCAGAGTATTCTCAAGTTAGACAATAGATGTAAGTTGCTCCCTTAATAATTGTGAGTTTTTCCTGGTCTCTAGTGTCCACTTGTGGCTGTAATTTCACATGAGAGATGGGTGGCTATTCTCTGAATTGTTTCAGGACAGTTTTCCTTCTCATGTCTCATGTCAGCTGTAGAAACTACAACCTTCTGGGGAGTTCTATGTGATTCATGCTCACGGCCCCACCCTCCTGAGTTATCATCCTTCAAATTAAGCAAGATCTGACTCATGCATTTTTTGGAGATGCTCCGACCCTTTCCATTATGAGACTAAATGGCTTTTCCCAGATTACATTGCTGTAATTAGCTTACACGCAACTTTGATAAATATTCTTACATACTACCCAGCACCAGCCAAAACTGTCACAGCGATCTGGGTACATGTATTTGGGGTTTCAGCAGCCTTCTCTGTTGGATAAAATGTGTATCCAATAAAATGCGTAAAAGGATGATCTAATGCTTCATCTTCCTTAATTTGATATGTTGATCAAAATACTTTTTATACAGAAACCTCAATTTAGTGTTATTTTAGTGTAGAGCTGGTCAACATTAGCCCTGAGGGTATATTTAGTTCTCAGTTCCCAGAAGGAATATCCATATGAGGAACTTTCTCCAACAGCCCTTCCTAAGGATTCATTTACCTTCAGGTTTCAGAAATAAGTAGACGGTTGTTAGTAGTATCTGTATTCTAGAAGGTGGAGGAGTAGATGGTGAGAATATGGATACCTTGACTCACAGATCTAGCTGGCAGAGAAACTAGCATCATGCCCAGTATTTTGCACTGTAATGCCTTGGACCCCTTTAGGTCACATCAAAAGCTTGGTCCTAAAGAAGCACATAAAACTCTAACGTTAAATCTTCAAATGGGGATATAAACACTTTTCGTCTTTTCCTTCCCAGTTTATAACTGAGGTTTCCATCTCTGTCCAAAATCTCATTTCTTCTTGGAGAAATATCAGCAAAGACAGAGGAATTTACCTAAATCTCATGGAGGGTGAGGATGCCCTGGTGCAGCTTGGGTGGTCAAAGCAAACCAGAAGCCTACAGAAAGAACCTGACTCATACGCATTTTGTTGGGTTTTTTTTTTTTTTTTTTTTTTTTGGTTGTTGTTTTGGGTTTTTTTTGTTTGTTTTTCTTTTTAGTTGGTTGTCAACACTTAGAATTGGAACGGTTTAACATAAAAGGTCTCTTGGAGTATTGGAAGATCCATCCAGACTTGGCCTGCATAACCATTGTCAGCTGGAGCTGGGTCGAAGCTGCCTTTTGGCTGCGCCATGCACTCCTCACTTTTCAGTGTCTGCTCTCATTTATGTGATTTATCCAGTCCTAAGCCAGTGTCCTGCTCTGCTTTATGGCCGGGTATCTTACAGCTTCACAGAAAGGCTTAGGCCAGTTGTGAGCAGTGGTTAAATGGCCACCAGAAGGAGCATAATTGGTACCATTGAGGCCCTAGTGCTGCTCCAAGCCCCACCCAGGCCTTCAGGAGACAGGAGTTAAGGCCAGGGTGGCCATGGTATGCTGAATTTGCTGAGCTGGCTCCTCTCCATCTGTTCATTCATCCTGAGAGTCATGACCACAGTTTCCTCATCCAGGGGGGGTGGGACATTTTTCAAAATATGAAAGAAAGCAGCCAGTGACCACGCAGGCCTATTGGTAGGCTCATAAGACCAACTACTGCCACAAAAGGATAAGCTTCCTGTTTACCAGCAGGCAGGAGACAAAGTGGTTGTGCTTCCTGGCCATGTAGGACTTGGCACACGGGCTGGGTTCTGTCCGAAAAGACAAGTGCTGAATGCTTGCTCTGTGCTCAGCCGTCGCCCCCACGGCCTGGGTCCTGGATGTGGGCCACCCTCGGGAGGGCACTTTTGCTTTGGCTCCAGAACCAGCCCTGGTTTTCTGAAAGGAAGCAAATGGGGAAGGTGGCCTCCCCTCCTTGCTGGCTTCCTCTTTAGCTTTCCTTTCCCTGTGGGGCCCAATCCAGCCAAAGTCCCTCGTCCTAAACTTGAATTTAAAGACTAATTCATGTCTTTTGTTTGTAAAGTCTCCAGGAAGCAAGATGCCATTGCCTCTGGGGAAACTGGTCCTTCTTTCCAGTGTGGTGGCCAGTGGGAGCTGCACCCTTATATATTACCTTATACGAAGTAAGTATCCAGTGAACCCAGCCGCCAAGGCGTAGCTTCCTCCCAGCTCTCTCTGCCCTGCTCCTCCATCAAAGGAAATACTTGAGATGCTTTCAGGAGATTAGAGAAAGGGCTATTTTTAGTAGCCAGTACCATTCCTTTGGCTATAGCTTCCTGTTTATCCTATAATCCCAGTTTTTCCTGGATCTCCAAGCGCAAATGAAAGGACCAGGATTCGTTTGCATCACAAGCCTTGCAAAAAGCAAGATGGGCTTTCACTCCAGTGCACACACAAGAGATCCCTTAAGATTTCTGAGATTATGTAAAGAAGAGAGGGAAGGGCAGTACCAGATGGTTCACAGGTGGGGAAAACTGGCTGTTTTTCAAGAGTCCTCAGCCTGTTTGCCCTGCCATTCTCTGCTGTAGATTTAGTGGAGGAGGGGACCTTGAGCAAGGGACTCTGGTGAGGGGAGAAAATAAAAGAAGAGCCCGGGATGCAAACTCCTGACAGATGCTGCTTCCAGCCCCACTGCACACAAATTTGAATTTGTAAAGACAGGCCACAATTACTGTGGGCAGCCAAGACATTTAAGGTCATTTCAGTGCTACTAGTTGCAAAGCAGCAGCAGTTTTTTTCTTTTTTTTTTTTTTTCTAGACTGCCTTTCTTTGAAGATCCTTTATGCCCACCCAGCCTGGCTTCTCACCCTGACTCTGCACCATTTTCACTTCCTGCCAGGACATATCACCAGCAGACAGGCAGAGAGCGCTCAGTGTCCTGTGCATCCCTTCTCCCCCACCTTCCTTCAGCCTTGGCCCAGGGCTCTCTGAGTCTTGAGGTGGCCTGAGGCGAGCACAGCCAGGGGTAATTCAGACTGGAATAGCTCAGCCTCCTCTCCCCTCTGCCAAGGGGTGGGAGCAGGACACAACAGGAATGGGTACATTTTATGGGTCAGGAGACCGAGGTCTTTCCTCCTCAGTAGGCCGGGCTCGTCCAGGAGAGATAGCCCAGCTGGCATCTATAGCCAACCGCCTGAGTTGAATGCCAGAGCCAGCTCTGCGCTGGCTGTGTAGCCTTGTGGGAGGATCTCTCACCTCCATTATCTGTGTGATGAGGGGCAACACTAGTGCCTGTGCATGAGGTTGTTGTAAAATTAAATAAGTTGTAAGACATAGGAGATACTGAGAACGGTGTCTCACCATGGAAATCTGGACCCGACCTGTGCTCCTCCTTTTCCTGTCTTGGCTGGCACCATGCTCATACTTCCCAGTCCTGGGAAGTAGCCCAGGGTGAGCATCCTCCCTGGCCTCTCCTGTCTCAGGCCATCCTCCCCTTTCATACTGGGATGGGGCCTACAGGAGGGAAGCTCTTTCTTGTTGCCAAACTGAAACCCCTACTTGGGAAGCCTACCTTTGCCCTCTCCCGAAGGCAGCTCGTCTACCTTATACCTTCAGGGAGGAACTTCCTGGGGTTTCTGGTAGCCTTTGGCCCAAGAAATGTACCTGAGACTGAGAGCAGCTTATAAGCAGCTTAACCTACATGAAATGTTGCCTTAAATCTATAAACTTGACAAACCAGCATTTTCACGTTCTGTTTCTTGGCCCAAAGGTTTTGTTGCTGTTGCTGTTGGGGGATATTTTATGCTGGTTTATTGGGGCCTTCATCCTAGTGAAAGGAGCAATGTTTAGAAGTCCAGAGTCATAGATTTTGGCCCCAGCTCTACCATGGATGAGCCATGTCACTTTGAGCAAGTCATGGAATCACAGGACTTTAGAACTGAAAGGAAAGCCAAAAAGGATCTGGGCAAACCCCTTAGATGAAGAAACGAGGCAACGAATAAGGTGGGAAATGAGAGATGAAGGAATTGAGGTACGGAAAGAATCAAGTACCTTGCTCAAGGTCATCTGCCACGTTCCTGCAGATACTGACTGTTAGGGTCAGGTGTAAGGCAGGGTAAAGATAGGAGTCAGAGGCTAAAAAATTTTAGCAAAGGCTTTATTTGGGAACTAAGGTCTCTGGCGAGGTTCCGTGACTCAGGGAGAGAGAGAGAGGAGTCAGGGAAGTCGCGCCCGGGTATGGTGGGGTAGGGTTTTTAAGCTGCAGCAGTTCCGGGTTTAGGCTCAGGTGGGTCTTTCTCTTGTGCCAGGTTGTGCTGGCGCTCGGTGATTGGTTGACCTTCAGTTTGTTCCCGCGCGCTGCTCGGGGCTTCAGTTTGTTCGGGCGTGCTGGCAAGAGGGCCGTCCCCTTCCAGGGACATCCTAACATTCCAACCTCTTATTGGTGATAATGGGCGAGGGATCTGATCTGGCTGCTTCCTGCGGGTGTAAGGGTGATGCCATAGTATGTGGGGTCTGAGGTTGGAATGCAGGAATAGGGCCGGACCACCATCCGATGAAATGCGACCTGGGAAACTTCATGAATTCGTTTCCATACGAAACGGAGAAAACAAGGTAAGAGCATAAGTATTATACAGATAGAAACTAGTGGGGTGACTATGGGGAGGAGCCAAGTTAGGTGGGGTGCTTGCCACCAGGAGGTTAGGGGGTCTGAGGATCCTGGGTGGGCGGATAGAGTTTTTTGGA